TAACGATAGCGCTAGATTAAATTCAGTGCTTATCTCTGCAGCTAACGATAGCGCTAGATTAAATTCAGTGCTTATCTCTGCAGCTAACGATAGCGCTAGATTAAATTCAGTGCCGGAATTTTCTGTTGACCAAGTACAGCAAGTCTCACCCACTCGAGTTGTTTCATACAGGACTCAATTACCAAAAATAACATAAAAATTGAGAGGAACTGTTTGGAAATTAGAAATGAATTGGGGAGTGAGCCTTTACAGAGGCCGCAGGACTGAAGTGGTGCCACATGATATTCCATTCGGAGGGCTGATCTGCTTTAGCGGATGCCCGCTGGTGTCCTTGGAAGACAGGCTGAGCCTAATTAAGATGAACAGCATGTTTCCTTTCCTCCAAACCTGCAGTGAGGATGTTTGCACACTGTGCTACGTATCATTACTGTGGTAATGATGACGGTCACCTGCAGGTCTGCACAGGAGGAGCAATAGCCTGTCATGGCTTAGGAATATTTAATTACAAAAAAGCATAAGTTTTACTGCGATGCAGATGTTGCGTGTAAAAGCCGCAGCAAAGCAGCATCCGTGATTCTGTAAAACTGAAGGTCGCTTTCCCAGAATGCACTGCGGGAGGGAGCATGCAGATGACTCACCTGATCGGCTCTTGGTCTTCTTTGTCCTCTTTGCTGTGCGTGATCTTAATGCCGCTCCTCTTGGCCCTCGGACAGCCGGACAAGCTACATGCGGAGTGAGAGAAATTAACGGATGAAACAAAAAAACAGTCATCAAAGGAGGGAACGGTAAGGTGATCATCATTAGGGGCAACATAAGACAATCACATATTACCAGCAGGTCAGAGACACCAATTCGCTCAGGCACACGTTTCTGCTAAACCAGGAGGACACCCACACGACATGAGACACGCGGAAGCCAGAGCCATAGAGTTGGCCTGGACTCTGCACCCCTGACTCTGGGGTTGTGAGGTGACAGTGAGGTGACAGTGAGGTGAAAGTGCCGCCACTACAGCTTGCAGTTCACACTAAACACTCAAAATGAGAACAGCAGCAACAGCATCTGCTACATGTAACTGGGATCTTGGAGGATAGCATCAGAATTTGTCAGAAATAAATGCAGATATATTATCCAAATATTATACCAAATAACTAACCAGAAGACCTCACTTCAGCCTGCTGGCTGCAGGGCCCAGCGGATCAGCACCCTAACTGTGATTATAAGTCTATAAACACCCCAGGCGGACATTTTCCTGCATGACTCCTGCTGACTGCGTGGTGATTATGTGTCACTAACTAAACACAGAACATGACATTTGAGGCGTCTTGTTGAAGGGGGTGTCTGGTTCCGACCATCAAAGCACAAATCTTCAGAGCTTCTTCTAGCTACTACAAATTAAAGAACTAATTAAACTGAATACAAACATCCATCTTGCAAATCCTTATCTAGAATAAGGTCAAGGATGGGGTCTGGGGCGATCATGGGCAGCAAAGGGTACTTTCATCCTATTTTGTTCTGTCTACTGTCTATATGTACTGTATTGCACCTGCTGTTTACTTGTAAAATTGCATTGTGCAACTGTGTATTTTTTTAATCCAGTATTCATTGTTCCATTTTTCTTTGTCAGCTGTTCCTCGTGATACCCGTGATGCTCTGCATGAACGCAGTTTTGTTTCATGTGGGTGAAATGACAATAAAGTGACTTGACTTGAATACATTCTGGATGGGATACCGGTCCAGTCCAGGGCAGACACAAGTACACAATCTAGACATTATTAGGATGCCAATTAGACTAACTGCACATTTCCTATCTGCATTAAAACACCCTCATGACGTAGAGAGCAGGGGTTGGATTCAAACCTGCAGCCACGAGGTAATGAGGCTAACCCACAACACAACTAACAAACTACCAAGAAGAAGAGGTGAAAGGTGAAAAGATGACATTCTCCTTACCTCCTGTGGGAGGCGTAGTTCCCAGTGATGTGTCCTGACCCATCACAGCCTGGTGTGGGGCACCTGACAAGACAAACCACCACACTTCACATAGATGGATCATTTGAAAGAAAACCACTTTAAAGTTACTTCAGCAGTCTTGAGGGCACGCATGAAAAAACAGCTCTGTGGCTGTAATTGATGGACCCAAAGTGTGAGAACCAGATTAGAATTCACACAAATGGCTACGGTGATTTAAAAAGTTTTTAAAAGATATCAAAACATTGAATTACTCCGATGAGTAGAGGCACATATAATGAAACTATTAATGAAAATAATTCAGGCTTGAAGCATATGGAAGCAGTATTTTATCCTGGGTTTCTCATTTCCCTGTAATTTTACTGGGAAACATGCAGATAATGAAAGCATTTTAAACAGCAACCAAGAAGCACCCATCTCACTTGATGTCTTGCGCATTGGTCGCCATCATACGGATGCCTTTTTCAGCCATTGGACAAGCAGACAGGCTGTAAAACATGGCAGACAAGCAGGGGATTTAACACAGGGGAACAATACAAGCAGGTCCTGGAATCCCCAGCAAACTGGAGAACGCCTCCCTCTCTGATGATTAACATTTGGATTCATCCCAAACACCTCCAACATCTAAAGACGTGACGCGATCATTTTCAGCTCTGGTGGAAAACGAGGCCGGTGCTAGCAGGACAGACTCATTTTAAAATTAGCACGCATGAATAAACTCCCACCCCCCCCCCCCCAGGAGGGTAAGCGGGTAGCTAGAGCAGCGCCGACGTCACCGGGATGCAGCGTGAACACGGCGCTAGTACAGCGGGTCACACCAACCCTCCAGGTATAACCAGCCATGGAGTCACAGGAGAGATCAAATAATTCTTTTCACAGTTTCTCAGATCAGCAGATAAAACGCGAGCACCTTCTCGTTCTGGTTTGATGTTATTCAAACTGAAAATTAATATGCGGTCTGGATGAAATGGGATCTATGTACAAAATCATTTACCGTAATCTACTGGCTAAATTTGCATTAGCCACATTAGAATACTGGGGGTGATGCCTTTTAACCCCCACCCTCACAGTCAGTTTCACATTGTCTCATGGGTGACTAATGGGTGCAGAACCCCCCCCCCATAAGCTTAAAAAAAACAACCTAAACCTGCAAGCATGAACAAAAAGACACAACAGCAGTCGATTAGATGAGAAATTCACGGTTGATAATAAGCATCCCCCTAGCAGAATGAGCAGCCCACAAACCCCGCCCCCCCCCAGGATTTACCCTATCAGTTCCTTCTTGCTCTCCTTGCATGGAGGGTACTTGGGCTTGGGGCTGGCAATCGTCACCTCTCCTGGGTACTGGCGGTCCTCCAGAAGGTCCTGGAATGGGTCCAAGTCGGCGGGCTGTGTGTGTGCATGTGTTGGGGGGGGGGATTCGGGGGGAGGTAGAGATGTGCATCCCATTTTAAGCTGTGGCGCAGTGTCGATCACAGTGACAGATTTAGGGCAGGGATCACAGTCAGTACACCGCGGTAACACCCGTGCTACGGCGGGCCCAGCACCTCGCACACAGCGACGCCGTGCTTTCCGGCATTTTCCTGACACCGTGTCACATCTCCTCTTTTCTTTCACCTGACTGGTTGTAAAGTTCATGTAAAACTTCCCACCTCCACATGATTTTTTTTTTACATTCACACTCAGAATGTTTGCGTATACGGAACTTCTGTCCCTTTAGATAGGATTAGGATAAAATGTCGGAAAATGCTGTCTTTAATGGAGCTGGTGACCGGGATCATGGAGACCGAATAACCTGGAGACAGTTGTGTATGATGGAAGCCACTTGTTTACACTGAAATGTGACAGACATCATCGCACACCTTAGCCAGTCACCATCCTAGGATTTTTTAAGGTAGGGGACAAAAGAGGGACCATAATTCACCCTGAGGTGCCAACCTTATTCTTAGCCAATGATATGACTTGAACTGGTGAGTGACAGGGATGAGGCATTCTGGGGGGCAATCAGCTTTCAGCTGGGGCAGACCTGTGGCCCCACCCCCTGTATACAACCTGCCTTTAGCAAATGATACACAATCACTTTGTGCACTTGGATAGGAGTCACATGTCCATGCTGTCAGCAAATGACACCCAAAGGCCACTTTCATCTTCCACGAGCATCGTACAGAGAGCTCTAAAAACAGATTGGAGTTTTCATGCTCCACACCACATTACTCACAAATAAACTTTTTAGATTTACCACGCCTGTCATCCCAAAACATGAAATAACAGGCGATGATCGAAACCTCATTTTACAGCTTCTATGATTTTGTTATGCTTTGAGCCTGTGGTTACCTCCAGCCTGCAGAGCTGGAGTGAGCTCACTGCAGTACCAGCGACCTGTCCATAGATGGCACTCTAGTGCAGCTGTGGCTGCAAGCCAGGCAGACAGAACACCACTCACTGCATCCCTTCTCTGTTAACATGGATGGTGAACGGTCACAAGTCAGCTTCCGATGTCAGTCTAAACTATTATACTACCCATTTATTATACATTAATGCAATTTCAAATTGCTTTGGCTGAATGTAGCCAAATAATGACCATCCATCCATCCATCCATCCATCCATAACCACTTCTCCAGCAAAGGGCACATGGTGGAAACAGCTTGGATGGGCTTCTGCTCCATCTAGCAGTAAAAATAATAATAATAATAATAATGGTTATGTGCCAGTATAACTTGGATGGCATTAGTTGCATAGGTTCTGGTGTTTATCTGACTCCTTGTCCCTCCAGGCTGTGTGGGTGCCGTACCTCTTTGGGGCCGTCGCTGTGCTCCAGGGGCAGGTCCCAGCAGTCGGCGTCACCCAGCTGGTAGCAGCGGCTGCTCAGCAGAGCCTGGCGCCGGGGTGACATGGGCTCCAGCGGGGTCAATACTGTGCAGTTACTCTCGGGGGCGCCGTGCAGCTGTGTCATGTTCATGTCCAGCGCTCCCTGGTCCTCCACGTCTGCATCAGGGCTCTGGGGGAGGCATGGATGGATGGAGAGAGAGAGAACGAGAGAGAGAGAGAGAGAGAGAGAGAGAGAAGGACAGCATCACTCGGAGGCTCATACACACCCCTTAAAGCTCCAAATGCTGATGCACCAGCCATGTGACGCATATATCTCCCAGCACCACCCGCCGCCCGTGGCCCTGTGTGTGGCTGCCTGTGAATGTCTATGTGCGGCTGCCTGGCTCATGCATCAAGCACTACTAGAGAAAGTCCACCGACTCCTACAAAAGGCTAAGCTAGCGCTACACGCCCCGTTAAAATCACAGTCACACTCATCACCCCCCCCATCTCTGAGAGAAAAGCCCCGGCTGACTGAGGCACCCGACCACAGCGGGAGATAGATGCTGTATGTCACAGGAGGTCTGGTACCTGCAAAGAGCGAGCCAATCGCACTCGCTAGCTAGGATATCTGCTTTAATACTAGTGTCCCTTCTTATGAACAGGAGGGATATGCAGTATCTTTTAGCTAAGGTGCGGAGAGCACTCCAATCATGGGGTATATTTCATTAAAAAAATGTACGATGAGTAATTTTCATTAAGCGATAATGAAAATTAACGGATTTTATTGCAGAAATTGGATAGATGGTGCTGTCGTGGATCCAGGCTTCAGGAATTCACGACACCACAAGATCTTTATCATGCTCCGCCCCCTCCGACTCAACGCACCTTCTCCATCTTTATTATGCTCCACCCCACTGACCCAATGCACCCTCTCCATCTTTAT